TTGTTTCTTAAATCACACGAGAGGAATACTTCCTCGATTTCCAAAAAGCCTCCTCGATCGTCCCTCGTCCATTAAAACCCCCTCGATTGAATCGAGACTCGTTTTTGGGAATCGAGACATGTCGTTAGAGATCGAGACTCGTTCTTGGAAATCGAGACACGTTTTGAAAATCGAGACTCGTTTTGAAAATCGAGACTCGAAGACCAGTATCCTTGAGAGATCCAATATTTTACACTGCAGTGGTTTAAAATTGAACGAATATTATAGGAAGCATTTAGAAGTTCGGAGTTTTTATCACTTCGAGGCCGCCTAGATAGGAATTCTAAGGGCTAGTCTTAGGAAACCTTTCAATGTCATTAATTATAGAGTTTAAATATTGATCTGGAGAAATGTTTTCACTCATTAAGCTTCATAGCATGTGTGCAGTTAGGTATTGCTGTTAGAGATTTAAAAATTACTCAACGCGTCGAAGGATTTATTATCTAAAAGGTTGACCAAAAAATGCATTTGAAACGAAAATATAACACACCGATAGTCTGAGAAAATAGTATATTAACCCAGTATGACCATTTTCAACCAGCCTGGTAAAATTATCAAAACCATTCCTTTAAAAAAGCTAATTTAATACAAAGGATTGAAAACAAAAGTTTGACTTACCTCGAGAATAGAATAAAAGATTTCTGAGTTAGAATATGCAAGCTAAGAGTCTTTTCCTGCACTCTACGAGTTTCAACTCAATAATAACACTTCTGACCACCTCTCTGACGTCATATAAAGTTCATCAACTAAAAAAATGAGCAATATTAATGCTAAATATAATCAGTTTAAGATAACGAAGTGAATATGTGAATCGAAACGATAGGAAAAGTAACCCTAAATATCAAAGTATTTGGGCCTACTTCACGCCCGAATAACTCATTTCTAAAAACTGCTCTCCAACACATCTACGGAAATTACACTCTTGAGCCTAGATACATCCCTCCTACCTTAAGAATGACGTAAATTGGCGAGTAAGATTTTGGATTTTTCGTGTCGTATAACCAAAACAACTCCTGGTTGAACACTCACGAACTGAGCAAGAAGAAGCTCTGGTATTCACATGATTTGCTTCTGCTGAGGGTAATATTCTCAGCACAATGAATGACACTGGGTTAAGTGTTAAAGGTGACGTAACGCACGCAATTGGTGTAAACACATGTTGTCACGTAGTCACAAAACCTTTGGAAAAATTCCAAGTCGTTTATTTTAGAAGGTTATCAAAGTTTATAGTCTACAGAATGTTTGCTTTAGGATAAGAAAATGTCACATTGGTTAGTAATTAAAATGACCAAATATTATGAATGTTTGTTTATGAAACATCATGTGAGCTAAGGGTGTGTAAGTCCTATCTTTGTTTTTTCAAGAGGTTATGATAACGTCATTGTTTAGAATGTATAAAAGAAGCGGGTCATGAGTGAGACACGCCTTCAGCAAATCAATTATATTTTGGCTACAAAAGTCTCCCAGCTAGTTACCTGTGTAAAACAATGGGGAAAAGAAGAGATTAAATGGAGAAAGAAAAGAAACGAAAAGAAAGAAAAAGGGCAAAAGGAAAAG